GAGATCCCACTTTTATCTTTCATGGCCAAAAGGGTTTTCTTTGGCTGCTAATTTTACTTTGAAAACTGTAGCCACAAGAAGTCACCTGTTTTTCTACTAAGTTTTAAGAACTGTCTTATCCTGGGTTTCACTTCACATCAGTGAAGAGACTGAGCCTGAAGAGATTAGCTTGTGAATATGATCACTGCTGACTTTGAGTTCTCTATTCTCTGCCATTCTGTTCAAAATTTGTCTCCATTACTCTTCCTCCTTGCTTCATTATGAGTTCTTATATTTATTACTCTGTTGTTAAAAACACTTTTTAAATTTTTGTAATGTTTATTTTTGAGAGAGAGAGAGAGAGAGAGAAACAGAGCATGAGTGGGGGAGGGGCAGAGAGAGAGGGAGACACAGAATCCGAAGCAGGATCCAAGTTCTAAGCTGTCAGCCCAGAGCCCAATGTGGGACTTGAACTCACGAACCGTGAGATCATGACCTGAGCCGAAGTTGGATGCTCAACCAAGTGAGCCACCCAGGCACTCCAGAAACAACACTTTGAATATGCTCTTCCTTGGGAGAAAAGAACATGGCCTCCTAAAACACTGCAGGATTTACCGATTTTTAAGTGTAGGAGATTAAATCAAATTGGCACCATTATGTTGACCCCTGCATGGCAACGCTCAGGAGAAAAGTGGGAAATGTGTCTGGTTTTTTTTTTTTTCTTTTAATATTAAATACAATTTATTGTCAAATTGGTTTCCATACAACACCCAGCGGTCATCCCAACGGGTGCCCTCCTCAATGTCTGTTTTTAAAGCGTCCAGGCCACAGCCCTGGTTTAAGGAAGGTCTGCTAAAGGAGAAGGGCAAGTTTCTGGTAGTGGGAGCTTATTTGACGCAATGTGAAGTATGAAGAGGAAGATGAGCTAAAATCTTGAGACTGTTGACTCAAACGGAAGAAGCTACTGGATTCCCCCCAGCTTGGGCTGTTTGGTTAGCACATCACAGAGGTGGTGAACATCTCTCAAAAGTGTGAAGCCCACGTCCCACCTCTGCAGAGAACAATGCAGCCGGTCCCTTGAACATCAAACATCCGAATTCATATCTTGACAGCTAGACCACCTTTCCCATGCCCTCTCTCGATGACCCCTTCTTCCATTCTCAGTTTACAATGACACAAGCCTCTGTTTCCCACTGGTCCTGCACAACCAGGATATACAGATTTCAAATGTAAATCCCTTCGAAAGCTATTTGTGTGCACGGCCAAGTGTGTGTCCTGTAGTGTAAGAATGGGAGCCTCTGGAGATACTCCCTGGATATGATACAAATGGTTAAGCTGTGAAGGAAACGTGCTAAGAAAAATACCGGACTAAAGACTTAAAACAAACAACAACAACACAGATTATATACATCACACCCACCGTAAGCACAAGCCTGTGTATCAGTCCACGCAGAAGACAGTAAGGAAACCCGGAGTCCGTGTGCTCCCCACCTTTTAGGACAGGGCTTTTAGAGCTAAGGCAGTGGAAGAAATGTATCACTTCTGCCCATCTGCCCCATTAAAAATCGACATTTAAGAGAGATGGTCATTTTGGTGTAACATTTGCATGTATCCAGTCGTCAAAGTTGTACCACAGTTATGTCCTCTAATTCAAACCTAGCCTTTCAAAGGTCTTAAAAAACATATATGTATGTATGTATATATATATATATATACACACACACACACATATACACACACATGTGTATATATATATATACACACGTGTGTATATATATATATATATACACACACATATACACATACACACACACACACACACACCACGCTTGCTTGGAATTGAAGTCATCTGGACAGCCACCAGAGATCAAGTAAATTCTCTTAAAGTCTGGCTTTCCTTGCTAGCATAAGTCCGCTTGTAATACTGAGAACGCCATGCAAGAAACGCAGGAGAGTCTCTCCACTATTTCGAGAAAATGTAAAGGCCACCACTGGATTTGTTTTGTGAGCAGAGGGGGAGCCAAGGCCTGCTGGTACTCACCCCCCGGGCTCGGGCTCAGCCACGCAGCTGGGTGGTGGCGGCTTTGACCACGGAGGCGGGGCCCCTCGGCAGCGCCATCCGGCTGAACTGTGCGCCTTTTCATAAAGGTAGAGGAATTGGGGTTAACCACACTGTAACCCTCCCACCTGAGGAAAAGGCCTGTTTGTTCCGGAAGGCACAGCCCAGCCTTATTTAACTAACTGCAAGCAGCTAATATAAGCACGCCCAAGGCAGCAAGAAAGCTCTAGTCTAGAACAGCAAAGCCATCCATTTGATGACAGTTCCTCCAGAATCCGACATCCTGAAGGATACCGCTCAGGCGCCTCACCTGACGGTTAGCCTGAAAACACCTGATCCTCTCTCCCGCGTCCCGGCCTGGGGAAACCGATAAGGCTGCCGGGCCAAGTCTCCGCCTTCAAAACTTTCCACGGCTTTGGGGATTCCGAGCAGGAAAACCCGTTCAGTGCACACGCCTCTCAGCCCTCCTGGGCACGCACGCCTTCCCTAAAGTTGGAGCCCTGCTAGGCGGGCTCCCTTCTCTTACCCTTCCTGCAGCCCCCCGGGGCCCGCAGACCCGGGCCCGGGGGTGGGGACGGCGGGGCGCTGCTCCGGCCGCGCGTCGGCCGGACCGCAAGGCTGAAGTGCTAGCCGGGAGCCCAGCGGCGCGTGGCCAGGCGTTCCCGCCCCGCCCCCGAGTCACCACCTCCGCCGCGTTGCTTCCCTCCGGGCAGCGCGAGCTGGGAGCTGGGCCCCGGGGTACTTTTTTTTCCACGTGTAAACCGGAGAGCCTCTCCGAGCCCCGGGGGGCTGGAGGCAGCTTAGCGGAGACAGGCGGGGGCGGTGGGAGAAGCAGCGGAGTAGGGACGCTCGAAGACCCCAGGATTTGGAAAGCAGTCCGGGGAGGGCCCGCGGAAGGCAGGGGGCCCCCAGGACGCTCCAAGCGGGCGGGAGCCGAGAGCCGCAGGGGTACTAACCTGTGGCGGGGCCCCCAGGACAGGCCTGAGGCTCCGTTCCACGCCGGCAGGTCCAGAGCCTCCACGCCGGAAAGCATGGTGCTGCCCCTGTGCGGCAGGAGGAGGAGACCGAGGGTGGGACGGCTGCACCTGCCTCGGCCCCGGGGTGCCGACCCCAAGCTCCCGCGCTGGAGTCTCAGGTGTGCTGAGCGCTGCGGCCAGCCCGCTGCGCGTCCGGGGTGTCTGCCGGGAGGTCCGGCTAGGGAGAAGCGCCTTCTAAAGGGAACCCGACTGTGGAGCGATGGTGCCGCCCGCGCGCCCTCCACACTGCCCCCAGGCGGCGGGGCCGCGCACTCCCTGCTCCCCGCGACCCCAGCCTTTTTTCGCTCCCTCTTGTTTTCTGCACCCATTCTGCGCATTTCTGCAGTCATTTCTATTTTGATGCGTTCAGGACACACTCAGTGCCAAGCCGAGTGCTGGGTACTGTGGACACCAGCATAAGAAAGACATGGTCCTTTCCTCTGGGACCTTACATAAACTGGCAAGCTCATTCGGTTAAGTTCATTCATTGGAACGTGTTTGTATTCTGAAGTGTACGATCACAAAACTCTGTGACAAGAGTCATGTTTCGGAGATGTTAAAACTACCGACGCGCAAGGGAAAGAAAAACGAATCGCCTTTCGCTCGCGTGGGGGAGCTTGAGCGAACCCCCTGCTCGGGGAGTACGTGTCCCTGTGACCCCGGGAGGGACAGAGGGGCGGCACAGACTTGCAGGACCCGAGCGTCGGGACTCTGTAAGCCTGCGCTCGCAGCGGCCTCTGCTCTTCCCTCCCAGAGCACGAAAGGTAGGGGAACCAGCCTGGGAAATCAGGCATGAATCTTAGAAGGTGGGGGTCTCCGGCATTTGTCCAAATGTCATGTTTCTGCTTTGGGTGATATTGACTTGGCAGTTTGCACCCGGCCAACAGCCTGTTTTCCTGGGAGCCCTCTTCCTTCTTTTCACGTGATAGCAGCAGCAGAGAAAGTCCGACTTCCAGGAGATTTGGATCAGCGAGTGTGTAAAGGTTTCTGGGTTTAGCGAAGGCAAAGAATATTCTGCCAAGTAATAATTTTAACGTGCGTCTTCAGGTAGATGTAATTGGACAGAATGATGCGAACAAATATACATAATTGACCCTCTTCTGCAAGTCGCTTTTAAGGCAAAAATGACTTAGAGTCCCTTTAATCGAGGTGCCCACTGAGTGCAGACAGGCTTGGAAGATCCCGTTTACCCAGTTAATACAGTGCCCGCAGGTGGGTGCAAGGGTGGTGTGGTTAGGTTCCTTTTTATAAGAAAACGAGAGGAAATGGAACTCTGTGTTCTTGTGGGGAGGATGTGGACCCCCTTGAAAAAGGCAGATGGTGACTTGATTGCAGAGTGTTGGAGGAAGTATATGGAAAGTAGGAAATATTATGTGTGTGTATGTATGTACACACACAATTTTTATAGTAAAGAATTTCCAAGCCTTTAATTCAAAGAAAAGCTTGCCATGAAGGAACAGCCCTATTAACTTCAAAATTCTAGCACTCCACCAGGGACAACAATCCCTTTAGAAGTGGACTGTAAACTGGAATAACTTTTTTGTATCAGCAAACTACCCAAAATACTGAAGTTTTAGAAAACTCCAGTAGAAATTTTAGAACTTCAGTAGAAGTTTTAGAAAACTTCAGTATTTCTACTGAATAACTTATCAGTGGGTAGTTAAAAAGAAAATTCATTGTTAACAGTGCATTTATTAAGAACATTTACCATGTGCAAGGGCTCTGTGCTTCAAGGGGCCAGGAGTTACCCTGTGTGCCCACTAGGTTCGAAGGTTGATTTCCATGTTATCTCACTGAACACTCAGCACTCTGTGTACTGTCATCTGCTTTTGAAATGAGGAAATGGGTTCAGAGAGGTTTAAGTTGCTGCCCTGAGGTCACCCACACAATTTGTAGTAGATCCAAGATTTCTATTCAGATCTTTGAGTTTCCAAAATCTTTATTCTCACTACACTGCTACACTGAGAGAGATCTAATTCACAGTCACTGCCCTTGAATCACTTTCCCGATCTGGAGAAGTTTCCCTCGTTTCATAAAGCGGAAAAGACATACATGCACATAATAGCTATAATTGGTGATGCACATATTACTGACAGGTCTAAAAGCATTATTTTATTTTTTTTATAAAGGCATTATTTAAAAAAACAAACGGTAAATAAATTCTTATCAAATACTGTAGGGGAAGAAATAGTTGCAATAGGGAACTCCAAGTAGCTCAAATTTTAATGTGCAAGTGAAACACCAGGGGATCCAGAGACTTCGATTTTCCATTTCTTAAAAGCCATAAATACTGCAAGAATAGCTTATACTTATTATAAAACCTCAAATTTCAATGCCTGCAGTCATTATTATGATCCTCATTATATTAAATAATAAGACTTCAGTGTCTCAAGGCTATCTTCATTTAGCCCTTAAAATTAAAAATTAACAAATCAGTTTTCTTTACAAAAAAGTTTGCTTTGAGAAAACCTTTATTGCACATCATTAAGTTCATTTCTATTTGAATGAACAGCACACAAAACAAAGATACATGTTGTAAAAATCCCTAAAATTCCAGTCAGCAGTATCCAAGGAATGTAGACTTTGTTCTTCGTCTTTTAAGGCATACATTTTCTACTTATTTTTAAGTTATGACCATAATTGTTTTTTTAAGGTTTTTTTTTTAAGTACTTTAATGTTTATTTATTTTTGAGAGAGAGCACATGCATGAGCTAGTGGGGGAGGGGCAGAGAATGACTGACTGAGGATCTTTGAAGAGGGCATTGCACTGACTGGAGAGAGCCTGAGGCAGGGCTTGAACTCACAAACTGTGAGATCATGACCTGAGTCAAAATCCAGAGTCAGACGCTTAACCCACTGAGCCACCCAGATGCCCCAAGAGAAGAATTTAAAATCCGATGATTAGGGATGCCTGGGTGGCTCAGTTGGTTGAGCTACCGACTCTTGATTTTGGTTCAGGTCAGAATCCCAAGGATTGAGCACCACATCAAGCCCCATGTATAATCCCACGTCAAACCCCAAGTTGAGCCCCATGCTGAGCATGGAGCCTGCTTAAGATTCTTGCTTTCTCTGTCTCTGCCCTTCTCCCCCCGTGCTCGCTTGCTTGCTCTCTCTTTCCAATAAAACATAAAATTAAAATAATAAAATAAAATAAAATAAAATAAAATAAAATAAAATAATTACTGATATATACCAACCACTTCCCCTCTCTCTCAGGGATGAACCCCAGAGAGTGGTCAAGACCAGAGTTAGTGAGTTTTATGAAGTCAGACTAGGCATTGTTCTCCACTGATGACACAATCAATCCAGTAAAAATAGCTGGAAGCAAGAGTGTAAGAGCTGAAGAGGGGGATAGAGAACATATTCTAAAGCTTATGGCAAAATAAACAAGAAATAACAAGAACCCAGTGGCTTCTCTCATCCAAGTTAATTTCAAAAAATAAACCCAATATAAAGCTGCAAAAGACATTAAATATTGCTTTTAAAAATATAAATAGTTCTTGATAAATTATAGCTATTGGTTTGCTCAAAGTAATAGTCTTCAAATATACTGTACCTGATCTTAAAATATCCATACAGTTTCCCAACTCAGCTATATATTATATATCCCTCTAGAGCACAGATTAGTCTGATAGCTACTTTTTACAACAGCAGAATATAGAACCTGGAGGGTCGTCTTCTAATCTGTATTTTCCAGAATTGGGTAGATCTTTGCATTCTGCTATAAATGTACGAAGTTCAGTCTCTGGGAAGCCATCTTGTTGGTAATGCTACACAGAAGAATTAAAAAAAAAAGTTCTCATTAATAAGTCCCTTGAAAACAGCTTTATTCTACATTCAAAATGGATCATTTGTCAAGGGAGGGAATCTTTCTAAAGGGATAATTCAGTCACTTTCAAGTATTTTCAGGGAGATGTAGCCTCTAGAGACATTCTTAGGTTTAGCTAAGGAAAAGTCAGTCTAGAATTCTGCAGTGTCCTCCTGGGCTCTCTTTTATGGGTCTGGCTCAATCCAAAATAGGCATGCTGAATCTAAGTCTGAGCCATCCTTCCAGGAAGAATCCATTCTATATACCCTTTGGGAGTCTCTCTTTCAGATAGACAGGTTTAAGGGTCTTGTACTAACATCAGTTCAGGGTCTAAGATCTCTAGAGCATGTCCTGACCAGAGAGGATCAGCCATCACTTGCCCACCTGACAGGTGCTTTGGGCCCATGGAAAAAGGTAAACACCTAAACTGTGAGTCTCAGACTTGTATCATCAAGAGTTGTTAACTAACATTACTACCTTTGAGACCTTGGCTACCACCCTTGAATAACATATAGTTCTCTGCATGAAGAGCTGTGAATTTTTAGAGCACAGTGGGGCAGGATTTAGACAGGTACAACTATATTCTTTCTCAGTGGCCTTGGTGACTCTAAGCACACATCTGCCAAGCAAGTATTAATAAAGACAATCAGGGGCGCCTGGGTGGCTCAGTCGGTTGAGCGTCCGACTTCGGCTCAGGTCATGATCTCACAGTCTGTGAGTTCGAGCCCCGCGTCGGGCTCTGTGCTGACCGCTCAGAGCCTGGAGCCTGTTTCAGATTCTGTGACTCCCTCTCTCTCTGCCCTCCCCCACTTGCATTCTGTCTCTGTCTCAAAAATAAATAAACACTTAAAAAATTAAAAAAAAAAAAAAAAAGACAATCAGTTTCTGAAATCTAAGTCAGTAAAAATGAAGTCATGGCCCTGGCTTCACAAGCAAGGTATTCATAATTATCAACTCATCAACTCCTACTAACCCTCTCTTTATCCCCGGGGCCATTTATATGATATCATGTTTCAGTACCCCTTCTCATACCCAGAAAGTCCCCAAGTGGAAGTGTCTATGTCAATGGTATACCTAATAGTATAAGTTATTAGAAATTTAAATATATAGTGATATTTAGCCTGCTTTTCCTATTTCAAAGGGCTCAAAATAACTTTTAAAATATCCCATGTGAGGGACAATATAAATAATAGCTTTTCAAATCAGCTTTTCTAACACATATAAAGCTTACATGGCTAGCACCTGACATATCAATCCCCTCACTCTTCTGGAGATCAGGCCTCAGGATAGTCCCAGGCAGGTCCTTGCCAAGAGTCTGGGTTCGGTCACAGTACACTCCAAACCAAGAGGTTAATTTTTCTTTATGAAAATTGGATTTTAAATGGTCCCCATCAAATTTTGAAATGCCATATGTTTCACTTACCCAATGCCTACTGGTCTTTATAATTCTAATACGAGTTTAGAAATCTCGTTTGAAAAAAAAGCACAATTACTTAGAGACAAAACCTAAAATATTCTACAAATTCAAATTCTTCATTTCTGTTTCTCAGTATCTACAATTGAAGTCTTTCTTTTCCACCTTGAAAAAATTAACATTCTAGCAGTTCTCCTCCCTCTTAGGTACCATATTTTATTGCCATTCTACAAGTTCTGGAAAAATGCTGCTACTTAAGCTCTTGATGAACCTACCTTAATTGTTTCATATGTATCAGTGATCAGTGCAATGAAAAGACTTAAAATCATATATATAAAGAGACTGATGAATGAGTAGAGGTAAATTCTGCTAAACAACCAGACCAAATAACTTTTTTGTTGCATTTTTGCAAATGTGGCAAACATATCATCTCCATTTATCAGAGAGAAAAGGCACTCGGAGACCATGTTCAGAGAACGGAACTGGAAAAAGAAAAGAGAAAAAGTTCACTTTATTTCACATTCCTTCCCACTGGAGATTGTTCATGACACTATACTAAAAAATAATGGACCAGGTATCCTTGTAAACTATGTAGTTAGCCTGCAGTAATTACAAGCATTTGCTATGTGATACATGCAACCTGTATAATGCCTACTGTTTTTCCTGAACAAGCAGCTCCTTCTTTGTCCTCCCCTTAAGGGGAGCAGCCTGAATTGAAGCTGCTGGTTTGCACCCTCGGCGCTTTTCTGAGTCAAGTCTGACCATTCCCTCTGCCTACATGGAAAGAGATCCTAGAAACACTTATGCAGAGATACCCAAGTCCTAACCATGCATGCTCATACTTCTCATTTTAAAGTTCATTCCATTTGGGATAATGGTATTATAATCAGGACTGACTCTGGTAACAAAAAAAAATGCATAGATTTCTTCAAGTTCCTCCCTATACTCCCTTTTTAATAAAATCACGTTTGCAAAAGTCTTGCCTAAAAAGCTGACTCTTTATTTTTTAAATTTTTTTTTTAACGTTTATTTATTTTTGAGACAGAGAGAGAGACAGAGCGTGAATGGGGGAGGGTCAGAGAGAGGGAGACACAGAATCTGAAACAGGCTCCAGGATCCGAGCCGTCAGCCCAGAGCCCGATGCGGGGCTCGAACTCACAGACCGCGAGATCGTGACCTGAGCCGAAGTCGGACGCTTAACCGACTGAGCCACCCAGGTGCCCCAAAAGCTGACTCTTTATATTGATGAATCAAGTTGACTTATCTTGACCTCATAGGTGGTAAAAAATAAATAAATAAATAAAATAAAATAAAAAAAGACATAATTATCTGATATAGTCCACAAAAGGAGGTGAAGTAGCTGAGTGAATCAATTATTCTCCCAAGTTGGTCACACCTTACCAGTTCACAAACATGGCACCAGATATACGACCTTCGACATTTTCAGGCTGAGTCACAAAATAGAAGGAGCTCATTTTAAAAGAATAACTGGCACTATTTTAGGAGCTTGATAGTAACAGGAAAACATTGTTTATTGGTACCTTATCATGGTAAGGCCCCAGCACAATCCATCCACAGAAGCAATAGCCTAAATAAATCATTGCGGCACAGCAACAGAACCTGATGACATTGGGCAGCGCTGCCTGAAGGGTCAGAATAAGGAGCTAGGAAAGTAAGAGAGGCTGTTAGAATCCCCTTGTCCCTCAGCCAAAGCAGTGCAATAACTCTGAAAGATAGGAATACCAACAGCATGGAGATCCATGGAATCCTTACGTTGTACTTCTGAAAGAAACCGAGGTATCGAACGACTCCGAGCCACACGAGCATGGTGGAAGTCCCAAGAAGTATGCTACAGACATCATAACTTGTTAGACTCTAAAACAGAGTGGAAAAAAATAACCAGATTATGTAACAGAAATTCATTGGGACAAAAAATATTTGGTTGGGGGGGGGTTAATAGAAATCAATCAGGCAGTGTTCTAGGTGCTAAGGACAAAGAAGTGAACAGAGAGACAAAATTTCCTTCTCTCCGGAAGCTTGCATTCTAGCGGTGGGAGAGGGGAGAGATAATAGAAATAAATTAATGAAACTCTCAGTACATTAGCTGATAGTAAGTGCTGAGAAGAAAATTCAGGGGAGGGGAAAAAGAATGCCTCCAGGGTTGCATTTCAAAAGGAGTTGCATTTGAACAGAGACCTGAGGGGAGTGAGAGAGTGCAAGCCAAGCAAAAAGCTAGGAGAGGAGTGTTCCAGGCACAGAGACAAGCAAATGCAAAGGCCCCATAGCAGGAGGGTGCCTCAAAAGATGGAGAGTCCAGCTGCAGTGAGCAATGGGGGAGAGTACCGAGTCACAGAGGTAAGGGGGTAGGTAGTTTAGAGCCTCGTGGGTAATTTAACAACTTTGTATTTTACTCTGATAGGCTGGGGAGATTGGAAAGCTCTGAACAGGATATGGTTCCATTTGGCTGCTATGGTTAAGAGCAGACTGTCCGAAGAGTGAGAAGGCAATTGCAATGATAGAGACGAGAGCTGATGGTGGCTTGGACCAGACTAGTAATGATTGAGGCGATGAGGTGATTTTTAAAGGTAGATTGATAGGATTTCCTCTTGGATTAGATGGAGGGAAGAAGGGATTAGTCAAAGAAGAGAGTCAAGGATAAATGTATGGCTTTTGTCTTAAGCACCTGAAAAGGACTGCCATTAACTGAAGTTAAAAAAGCCATGAAGAAGCAGGTTTGGCCTGTGGAGGTGGAGATTGAGATTTGGGGTGTTCTGTTTTTTGTTTTGTTTTATTTTGTTTTTAATTCAAGTTAGTTAACATACAGTGTAGTCTTGGCTTCA